TGATTTGATGATCTAATTCATAGTCCCCAGTCACGAACTCGTGGTGTATCCTTTTTTGTCTTTGCTCTACAGATCTCTGGCGGCACCACATGAATTCCTTTCTCCCACGAAGAAGCGGGTCATCCTCTTCGAGTCAAAGCTGTTGATTTGGCTATAACTTGTTTCATTTACTTTGTTATTAAATCTATCCCTCTACTATTTTTCACATCAAACATGACCGCGTACAATATAGTATATATGTTTGAACAAATTAAATTTACCCCCATTTTGTGGCTTATCTTCTCCGTCGGCAACTTCCAATAATTAATAGACACAATCCCATCATACATATGTTTCGCTTCTCTTTCTTCGACCCAACAATAAATAAACGCAAAAACTTGTCTGTCACGAAAGAAGTCTAGGGGTGTTCAAACGGATTGGTTACCGTGGTAACCATATTAACCGGTAGCATTCGGTTAACTTGGTTTGGTTAATTTGGATAATTGGTTTGGTTTGGTTAAACAATTTAGCTTATTTGGTTTAGGTGGTTTGGTTTGGTTTCAACACTGCTAACCAATGAAACCAATTAACCAATTAATGATACACCTAATAATACAAAATTATTTATACTTCCATGCAACCAACCAAACCAAGCTTTCGTGATTACCTATTTTATTTCCATGTGCACAACAAACCAAAACATTATGGATAAAAGATTAAATGGTTCTGCCTATATTTACTAAACCAAAACATTTTGCACATCTACTAGACTTTAGGATTACGTTCATACCATGACAATCACCTCAAACTATGTATAGTTTAAGTGTTTTGTAGGAGAGTTTTAACTTCCTGATGAGGGGTATTGGTATGTATATTTATGTTAAGGGGTTTGTTGTAAGCTACCTATATTAGGTGCAGAGATGATGAATGATCTATTAACTCGAATGATGATGATAATTATTGATGGTTAGTCTTATTATTATTGCTTATATAAAATGATAGTTTATATTTATTTTCATGTAATGTTATGTTATTTGGTTAATCCGATTAACCAAACCAATTAAAATTTGTTTTGGTTAATTTGATTTTTGTGTTAATTTGGACGGTTTGGTTAAGACATTTTATTTCATGGTTAATGAAATTTAGGCTTAATTGGTTTGGTTATTACCACGGTTTTCATTTGAACACCCCCTAGAAAGAACCTTGAAGACCGACTTTTGAATTTCAACCACTCTGTGAAAGTCCACAATTATTGATCGATTGGACTCAATCATAGAAATTGGAACGCAATATTTTTAGAATATATGGATTTCAAATTATCAAAGGTTGTCTACCCGATTTAGTATGTTGGTCCGGTCGATTAAGGGGGTTAAGGGTTAATGGTCCAATCGTTTTAGTTCGCTTTTGCCTAGATATATGAAAAAGTCATTATATTGTTCATATATTTATAAATTATATAAAATCTCATCTACATATATGGATAATATTTTTTCTCACCCGGACTATCTACATTTGTTTCTCTACCTGATACTTTCTGCTATCCTCCTTCGAGCTCCTAAAAAGCACCCCAACAACATGTATTCATCAGGTGATGAAGGTCGCACTCCTATGGCGACCGTGTGTGTGTCAAATGTGAAATTTATGCGGAACGGCCAAACGGGAATTGAGCGTGAGGGTGTTTGCGAGGGAAGACAATATGTGATGGAAGGGGAGTTTTACAAGTAGTCTCTTTGTCAATAGGATTAACTCAACGAATTTAGCTTACCAATTCGCAAAGCGGGAGCTAGAATGGGAGCGTAAGAGCGTATATTATTCGAGAATTATAATTTGAGTGTGCCGAAAGAGTGTAAATATTATATTATTTTAAATAGTATATCATTTAACTTACTAACATGTTTTGGTCAAAATATTACAACAATGCAGCGGACAAAGAAAAATAAATTTATTTTAGTAGAATGATAGCTTTAAATAATCTGATTAGCCCGAAAAAGGAACATACTTCAAAAGTTGAATAGAAATCCACCAAAGTTTATGATACTGTTTTTAGTTTTTTAATGAAGTTTTTAGTTTTATTTTATTTAAAAGGAAAAGAAAAATGAATGCATCGTTTATCCACCCCCATGCACTCAATTAGTTGTTAATAAAAGAGTCAATATCTTCTTCTTCCCCTTCGATTCTTTGTATCCTAAGTCGACGCTAGAGATCTCCTGCAGATTACCAAATTGGCAAATTTTATATCACCGGCCATCAAACTAATCTCCTATGCTTTTATTTAGCCCAAGCCCGTGATTTGATTATCTATTTGTTAGTCCCCATTCAAGAACTCGTGGTGAATCTTCAGAAGTAGGAAGATTTTTTTACAGCTCATCTAAATCTTCAACAACTTTTTAGATCTCGTGTCGCATGTATCCTTTTTATCTTTGCTCTCCAGATCTCTAACACGACCACAAGTATTCCTTTCTCCCATGAATAAGTGGGTCATTGTCTTCGAGCTAAAACTGTTGATTTGGCTATGACTTATTTCATTTTACTTTGTTTATAGAGAGAAAAATCTCTCAAATAAGTGATATATGAAATAACATTTGTGAAGTTTGATTTTCGATGCTCTGATTTTTAGTTTGAGGTACAAGTTCTGTGTTTTGGAAGTTGGTAGTTTCTGTAAAAGAATCGTGAAGCAAAAATATCATTCCTACTTTTTGTAGTAAATTTAAAATGAGACTACAATTTTCTCATTTAAGTATTACATATTGTGTAGAGTGTAGATAGAGAAATGTACTTTCACTACAAATTCATTAGCACATTTTAAAAAGGTGAAATGAGCCAACTTATTAAACTCGTAATGATTGTTGGATCCAACCATGTCAGAATAGGAAGAGATTTAAAATTTGACGGTTAGCCGAACTAAAATGTTCAAAGAACCAATCCCATATAGTTTACACAAAGATATGAATATGATTGTTTCATAGTAGGTCTAAAACTTAATATTAATTTAAGAATTATACATCACTTCTACATATTCAATACTTCAATTCGATATGGAATATTCAAACCAATGATATTTGAGCCACGATTTTAAAGTTATCCTCTATTTATAACATATACAGGAATTTAATTAAGTATTAAATAATAATTAAAATGAGGAATTTGGCCTCTGTTTGTCACACAGTTTCAACTCAAATGCATGGTCCTCTTATAATTTTAGCTTCTTATTTGTATGAGATGAGGTCGACTGGCTCTATGGCTGTGCAACTGCAGAAAAATGAAATTTACTATTGCGGGATTATAATGGCTTTTGAGATGGTTGGGTCTTTATAGGCTCTCGGATCTAAAGTAAGAAGAAGAGACGATGAGATAGTCAAACATGGTCTGTGATGTTCCATGTTGTAGTGTTTTGTGATAAGTAAAATAATGATATGACAATGCATTTATGTATACAAATTGTTGAAAACAACATCGTTTTGCAGTGGCCCGGTGCTCAAATCAGTTGGTTCAATCGGCCGAATTTTCCGACTTGATTGGGTGTTCATGGGTTTGACCGAGCCCGAGTAGACAACCAACTGGGCCTTCGACACCCGCTGAGATACTCATGTTTAGGTAAAATTGGTTCGACCAGCAGAGTCAAACTCGAATTGACTATCATGGTTATGATTCTTATTTGTGTTTGAAGATACATTAGTTGAAATCACAATACTTGTCTATTTTCTATACAAAATAAAGATAAATAATGGCGAAGATAAAAACGTCATTCCTTTTTTTGCTCTCATTGTAGGAAATTTGAAATGAGACTACAATTTTATCATGGCAGTAGTATATATTGTGTAAAGTGTATATGTAGACATGTCTTGCTCTACAAACTCATTTTAATAAATAAAAAAAGATGAAATAAACCAACCTATTAAACTCAACCTCGTCTAATGATTGGGATCCAATCATGTCTCTTGGATTAGAAATATGTTTAAAACTTAATGGTTAGCCGAGCTAAAAAGTTCAAAGAACCCGTCCCCAATATAGTTTGTAGAAAGATATGAATATGATTGCCTCATAGTTGTTCTATAAACTAATACTAATGTAATAGTTCAACATCGCTTATACAAATTCGATATTGCTATCTGATATGTAATATTGAACCAATGATATTTGTTATATGATTTTAAAGTTATCCTCTATTTATAAGATAAATAGAAATGTAAATTAAGTATAAAAAAATAATTAAAATAATTAAATATAAAAATTGAAGTATCAAACATCAATTATTACTGAGGGAAGATTTAGTTACTTTAGCTAACCGTTGAAAAGTTATGTGATTTTTTAATTTTAGCTTCATGTATGTTTTTTATTTAAAATGATACAACTCATCTATGTAGTCTGATTGGTTAAGATGTTTGTCATTGTTAAAAATGATAATGATTCAAATCCTAGTATGTCTTTTTTTAGGAATAAATGAGAAACAAATAGTCAATTGTGAAGACAAGAATACCCTTCCTACTTTCACTCTCGTTGCTGAAAAATTTGAATGAGGATGGAATTTACATTAATCAGCTATCTATATTCTTGTAAATTAATTAAGGGTATTATAATATTTTAACTCTTCTCTCTTCCCATTTTTCTTCCCTTCCCCTTCCACTCTCCTCCCCTTCCATTCACGGTACTTTTCCATGTTCTATTTACAAATTACAATTTTGGTACCTAAACTTAATAGGTATTAATATTTAGTACCTAAAATTAGTTTTAACATCCGAATACTAAAAAAATCGATGAAAAATTACATTTTAGTACCTGAAAATTTTCCCCTTACATTTTTTGTACCTAACGATAAATACGTGTGTTGGGAGTTTTTCCTTTTTCAGGACGAATTGGGCCCGTTATGTCTGGGCATTTTATGGAGTTTTCCTGATTCCAGTCCGCTTGCTCAGATTTTTCACTTTGTTGGGCCGATTACAAACGAACCCCAGCGCCCCGGATAACAGTCCCCACGCGACAAGTAAGTAGCTCGAAGGAGATACCAAACCTGCGATCCATGGCGTCACTCTAAACATTTCTTTCCAGCCAACTAGGTTGCCGTGACTCTGTCCCTCCCTTCCGACCGCTCACTCCCACCTTTCAGAGTCTGTTTCACCGAATCCCAGGTTTCTCTCAACTTTCGATTGCATCTGTTCGAGTAATTAGGGTTTCAACTCAGGAGTCAGGACAATTGCTTGATTCTGTAACGGGAACTTACCCAGTTGCGAGAAATTAGTCACATCTTCTTTACTCTTCATACCGTGAGAAATCGGTTGCGATGTCTGAAATCTGCGACCATGTTTCTTTAGGAGTTCATTCTATCCCACCCTTGAGATCGGCAACCAGTGGCAGTGTGCATTGTCGAAATCGTGGGACGGGTTTCGAAGTTCCTGCTTACTTATGCCTCGAAACGCTATAGATTGTCTGGGATGGAAGAAGTTACTATAGTGAGGCAGCATTAGACAGTAGTAATGTGGCAGAATATGGTGACGATGAGAAATACTTGAAGAGTCAAGAAGAGCCACAAACCGGCTCCTCCTAATGTGGGTCTGGAGTTCGATTCAGCTCATGACTTCAACAATGCGTACGCCATGGAGCAAGATTTCGGGTTTCAAGAATAAGCATGGGGCAAACAACCCGAGACTTGAAACGAGAACCGGTTGTCAATCCAAAATTCGGAGGGTATTTGAAATTGAGCTGCAACACAACCATCCATTGACTCTGAGAACAACCGGTTCCACAAATCGCACACGAAGTATGATTCTTTGCATACAAGAAGGCACAACCATTACCAGATCCCCATGATGGAAGGTGGGTGCAGGGATCATCATCGTTCTATTGTCGATGACCACATTGATCACCACTACTTCTGTCGAATTAAGTTTGACGAATCCAAACTTCTCTCATTGGTTTGAATCACCATGGACAGCCTGGGCTACTCAGTTGTGGGTTTATAGGAAGCGAATCTGTTGAAATTTATCTCTGGACGTTCCGGGCATAGACAAAATGCACACAAGGGGGATGTCCTGGATCTCCCCACGTTATATTGACTGAACCTACAAACCAAAACCACTTAAAGTTCTCACCCATTGATTGGAAAGAAAGTACCACTAAACCAAATACAGGACAGATTTTTACATCACCCATTTAAGTTCACTCCTTGATGATGATTACAAGGTTGAACAAGCAACGTTTCTCATACAAAACCATAACCAGAGCCAGTGTAAGCAAAAAAGACCAAGCGAGCTACCGATCAAGTGCTTCGCATTGCTGCAACCCGAAATCTAACCGCAAACTTAAAAGCCAAAGGAGTTATGAATATAACTTGCAGCAAGCAACTGACACTAAGAAAAACGATTTCACTATAAGCACAAAGAACCAATCAAAATGTCGCAATCAACATTTGCCCTCTCTACAAGCAAGTAGGTAATGTAAGTCCATGGCAGACGAAAGCCAGTACGACATATACAACCACTAGGAGAAGGATTATTAGAGCAATCCTGCAACAAGAAGAAAACAGATCAGTGGATGAACTAACCACTGAAAGATTCTAAGTGAAATCTTAATCAAATCGGTGAAATCGTTGAACTTAAAACGAAGTTTATTCATTATAGGTTAGATTCACATACATGAGCTTCACATTTCTCCACCATGTCGTGTTTCTGAATCGGCGAGCTTGCTTTCTGAAGCGGAAGGTATTCCCCTGCATATTGGCTGTTTTATCTACCAGCAACTCCAAGCGATCGCCTCTCTCTAGCACCTTATCGATGTTCTCGATCATCACATTTCGCACCTGTTGCACAATGTTTAAGAAGATTATACACGAATGTTAAGAAGAGGAAGTTCATTACGGAAGCAGTCTGTCAGTGAGTCCAAGTCGCTATTCTGAACCAATCAATCAATCTGTTGGGTGATGGTAATGAAGCAGTAAGTTTCCACTTACTGTCCACATTTCCTAATCAATCACTTCATAAACCAGCTTACCGATCAGGCTAATTCTATAGCTTGGAGTTCAAGGGAGCCTCAGATTAGCAATATTGTAACCCAATTAGCTGAGATAAAAAAAACAATGGCCATCCAATTGATCGAGTAACAGGCAGTAAGATGGCATAGACGAAGCTATAGAAGCTTTGAATTGGAGTTAGGTTTGAATTCAACATCGTAGTCTAACCCAGCAATACAGCATCAATTGAAAGTGAAAATTGATGTAAAGCACTGACAAGCTTACCTGATTCATTTCACCTTTCAGTCTGTTCATCCTATCTGCATTGGGATCGTTGGAGTAGTACTCCATTTGCTGGCTCAGAACCCTGGAGAATTCGTCATTCATACCATAAGCTTGAGCTGAGTGAACACCGCGGCCGTAAGTTCTCACAAATCTCTGATGAATGTCTTCTAGAAACGCGAATGGAATTCTTCCTACCGAACCGAGCAATTGACGAAATGTATAAGCCAAAAATAGTTATAATCCTACTTCTAATAGAATTTCGCTTCTGGATCGACGCCGCCATTGACCGGGAACGGAAAGCAGAGACGGAAAAGAGGAAAGAAGAACAGAGCAAAAACGCTTACTCCCCGCGGCCTCGTCGGCCATACAGAGAACGGTGAGGCCATCGGTGCGCTTGACGTGGAAGATATAGCGATCTTGAGAATACGAGACGTGGCTATCGTCAGTTCCAGGAATCTTGCCGAGAATCTGTTTGGCTATGGCGCTGGCGTTGGTCGCCGTCGCGCTGAACTCCGCCAGGACCACCGATCCCCTCGCCACGAGCGCGTACAGAATCGCCATACCCGCCGGGGATCTCTACAGAGATCGGAAACCAGAGAAGCTTCGTCTCCCTGCCTTTCTCGGGAGAATTTTTTCCTTTTTTTAAAACTGAATTGGAATGATTGGTTGATTAAAAAGCTTTCCATGAGAGCTGGCCTACTCTGCTCTCTCTCTCTTTTAAATTTCTGGCGACCTACTAAAAAATTGGGCCCAATCAGCGTGATGAGAGAAAAGAGCTCTTTGCCTTTGTCGAGCCGTCCTCTAGTAAACCCGAGATAATAATAATTATTTAAAAGGGAAATGTCACATTTGGTCACTGAGATTACTAAATCGTGTTATATTTAGTCATTAGAAAATTTTAATATCAATTTTGTGCACAAGTATAATGGAGTTGGACGGAAACTAACGGGAAAGTGACTAAATATGATCTGTTTCAGTAATTCGAGTGACTAAATGTGACATGTTTGAATAATTCGAGTGATTGGAGTTGGACGGAGGCTACAGGAGAGTGACCAAATGTGACATGTTTTAGTAATTCGAGTAACCAAAATTGATATTAATTTTTTCTAATGACTAAACACAATACGATTTAGTAATTTCATTGACCAAATGTGACATTTACCTCTGTTATGTATACTAGTCTCGCCATTTATACTTGTGTCCAAAATCGTTATATATTCTGTCCACATAGTTAGAGTTGGTATATCTTCCCAACCTCATGGCTCATTTACTTGTAATTTTATTTTCAGTGGTTGCCATAACATAAAACAATTTCAAAAGAGAATGAAATTGTGGTTTCTAAAAAACGCAATTAGGAGAAAACTTGTTTAATTGAGAATTCTAATTAATTTTGAAACTAAAATCTGAAATATGATAACACGTTTAGCTACTTCATATTGTATTATGATACTTGATTACCACAATTTTGTTCCATTGAGTATTACACAACCCGATGAAGCGGGTCAGATCCTGTGCTTAAGCCTATAAGTTTAAGCATATGCTTAAAGCACTCCTATTGGTTGATAGGAATTTAGTTAGTTAAAGGAAGGTTAGTAGTTAATTAGTTGTTAAGGGTAAATGGGGTATTATGAAAATATAATTAATATTAATAGTTAATAGAAAAATAAGAATTAAAACCCTAATTCATTTTCACCGTAACCCTCTTCCAAAAATGACCAACGTTGATTCCTCCCCGGCCAGCGGCAACCGCTCAACCCTCTCTCTCTTTGCGAAATGTTCCAGGATACAACGCCGCTGAGAAAGAAAGCTACGGCAGCAGCACCATCCCGCCATACGAACCTCCACCATCCCTCTTAGATCGGCGAGAACTTCAGTCCGCAGCAGCTGCCGTCCCAATCCAACTCAGTCGCAGTCCCGAACCCAAGCTAACCACTAGTATTTTTCATCTTTTCCATCAACTTGGCGTCATCTTGCTGTAATGTTTCCCCTGCCAGGCTGCCACCGCACTCTCCATCGCCATGGAAAGTCGTCTCACTCACGATTCAAACTTGTCGCTTGAGTTTTCGCTTCACCGTCGACGAGGAACTTCCTACAAGGTTAATATCATTAAACAATGACAGAAAATTATTAATAATGATATCATAAAATATTGAATTCTATTTTGAAAACAATAATAATGCTATCGTTAATAATACCATGCGATAGTGTTGATAATGCTATAATAAATGGATAAAATTTTATCCAAAAACGTTGATAATACCTTGTGGTGATGTTACTCGTCAGTCGTCAATGTAAAATAAAATTACTTGATAAGATAATTATTCATACAGTGATATGGTAAATCATTGACAATCCTATTTCAAACTTTAACAACGTCATACTAAACATTGATAATGATTTTTAAAACATGAATATTAATGATTGTGCATAACATTCATAATTCCTTCATAAGAATAGATAACGGTACGGAAGAAATGAATCACGGGCGAGGTGTTTTGATTGGTATGGAAGATATATTGCAAAGTGACACGTTTTCATTAATAATGAGAAATGACATCTTAATAATGGTACTTGTCAACCGTTTGAGTATGATATTGAACATCATTTCAATATTAAAAATTATTTTGCGTATTGACGTTGAAAGAAGATGCGATTTTGTTAATAACGACGTAGCTCTTAACGATACCTTTTATTGAAAATGGTGTGTTGCATAGGTTAATAATAGTATTGTTTTAAAAATGTTACAAATTGGAACTATAAGAAGCATGTGTCGGAAGATTGATAATGGCATTTGACATTGTTACAAACGCAAGCGAATAAAATAAAAAACAAATGGTTAACCATTGATAATTAAATCTTTAAGTGGTCGTTGTTGAATTGTTAATTACCATTGATAACGTTAGCAAATTTTATTACTGATCACAAACGTAAACATTTGCATTATCTGGTAACATTGACTTAATGGAAATTTAACTAATACGTAAATTAATAATGCTTAGTTTTTTCATTCATCATCCCCACAAAGATGTTGATAATTAAATGATATGGTGGACTCCGACAAGCAACATTGGTAAAAAATTAACGAACTGGAAACACAAACATTAATAATTACACATTAAAAGATAACAATGGTACCAAAAAAGTTAATAATAAACACATAATGAGAACAAGCATGTGATAATATTAAAAGTTGTTGTTGAAGAATATTATAATTCATATAATCAAACGTTAATAATGGTATGGAACCAGCATTTCTAATACGCTATATAGTATTGGTGCTTTAATGTACAACTTAAAGTTGTACCATAACATGAAATGTATAAGTTTAGATTGTACCATAAAAGAATTTGTACCATTATGTTAAGGTACAACTTTACAACTTGAAGTTGTACCATTACATAAAGGTACAAGTTCAAGTTGTACCATAAAAGAATTTGTACAAACAGTATAGGTATAATCTAAAGTTGTACCACAACGTTAAATGTACAATTTCAAATTGTACCATAAAGGCAAAAACCTATAGCACCAATACTATATAGCATTGTAAAATTCCTCGTATGGAACACGTTAATAACATAAAGCATAATTGTTAACAATAGTAACCAACATAAGTAATAATAGATTGTTATTAGTAGTAGTGAAATCGTTAATAGCGGAGGGGAGCTGGACGATACTTGAGTGCGACGTCGGACGACGAAGAACTCCAGGCAGCAGGGGGAAGAAAAACTACGCGAAGCAGAGACAATAGAAGCTTGACGGAAAGCGAACCGAAGCTTGAAGGACCGACGGTCGAAGCTTGAAGGAGATGCCACTGTCGAGGGTTGAGGGAAGGGAATGGGATTACGACGGCAGGGAATGGGAGTACGGCGGCAGGAACCAGAGTGCGGAAGCAGGGGTTGACGGAGACCAGCTGGCGGGAGCAGAAAGGACAGCCGGCGGCTGCACCGGACTGGATGGCCGGAGAACGTCCTTTGACGAGAAGAGAAACGAGTTCGACTGGGGGTGAGAAAAATAATAATGAGGGTTTATAAACAGTTAGGGTTACATTTTTTAATTATTCGCAATTCTCTTAATACCCTTAACAACTAATTAACTAATAACTCTCCACTAACTATCTAAAATTGAATCAGCCAATCACAACGCTTTAAGATTCTCCTTAAGAAAGAGGGTTCAAGGACCTGAACTTAGGCCACCCTTCATGATATAAGTTTTAACGTAACTCACCCCAAACAGAACTTGTGATCTTACAAAGAAAAGTTTTCATTCAAACATCTTAGAAATTTGATGACATAATTGATTTTTTCCATTGAGTATTACACAACCCTTCATGATGTCATTTTTCACGTAACTCACCCCAAATAGAACTTGTGATCTTACAAAGAAAATTTTTTCATTTAAACATCTTAAATATTTGATGACATAATTGGTATCATGATATTCAATAACTTTTTCATAGCTTTGCAATTTGTATGGCTTGTAGGATTACAATCACATGAAAGTAGAGGTTGTTAGTCATCTAATTCATATTTCATGGTTATAACTCTCACATAATAGTTTGTTTTTGTTTGATTACTTTAGGTATGACAAAGCTTCTTCAAGCTCAACTATCCTTAGGAGTCGTTTGCATCGTGGATTTGAAAAATGAAGGTTTTGGTATAATTTGGATATTGAAAAACCATGGATATATGAGGGTTTTTGGCTCATAATGGATTTGAAAAATACCATTTTTTGTTTCATAGATTTCATGATAGATTTTGATAATTAAATTTGTTTGTATGAAGTGAAACTTACTTTTATTGCCCTTAATGATATAAGAAGAGAAATAAAATAAGAGGGGTAGGTTGGTAAAAAAAATGATGGACTTCAAAATCCATGATCAATTTCCACCAAAAGAGGTGGGATTTTCAAGTCCGTGGGGCCCACGGATTTGGACCCTCAAAGACCATGGGTTCCATGGATTTATTACCTCTAAATACTTAAAGCAAACAATGGATTTTGGACAAAGTCAATCATAAATCCGAATCCTATTACCAAATCCTTAACCAAATTCATCAAGCAAACAAGGGCTAAATATGTCTCCAGATCCAAACCTGGCTTGCATGTTTCTCCGGGATTCATCTGCTGACTTGCTGGAGCGGATGATTTTTCTGATTAATGATCCCACAATTTGTTCTATCTAGCTCAGGATCATCACATTGTTTTTTTCTGATTAATGATCCCACAATTTCTGATCCAAATCCAATAACCTCGTAGTGAGTCTGACTCATTAGGTTCAACTAGCACTCCATTAATGAGCCTCGGGCGGGTTTTTTTGTTGCCAAGACATTGTACTTGGCGTCATGCTCCAATTGTTGTAATTTGTGGTGTTAGGCCTTTTCCCACCAGTGTTCACCTCATCGTCCATGACGGTGGCTAAAGAGCTAGATTAGAGAACCATACTTTTGACTCCATCACAAATTAAAAGTAATGTATGAGGTGAAGCCCTAAGACTTTAGGAAAACATTTCTTATCACGCCAGGTGACAAAACACCTAAGGCCAGCTCATTTAAGTCATTTTGTTCTCACTCACACCATTTTATGCTCATTCACGTAATACTATGGTGATTTACGTAAAAGTGTAAGTTTTTCACGTAAGTGGCAATTCAGACTTTCCCCCCTAATAATTTGTATTGGCTATATTTTATGGAATTAAATTTGGATTATCAATTAAACTGTAAAAATATGTTGCATTGATCATAATCTACACAATGACATCCATTTTGATATATTTCAAAATTAAAAATTTTATTTTACAAAGGCGTGAATAATTAACAATATGTGTGAATTGAACATCAGGTTGCGTGACCTAACAATATTGGTTGCGTGAATAATCAATACTTTTACATGAATAACGCAAATATGACGTAAACACATCAAATATTGCATGAATAACCCAAAATAAGGTATTTTGCACCTAACGTGACAAGAGACTTCACTCAAGACTTTATCCTTTCTCATTCTCTCTCTTTTCTTTTTATATGCAGGTTGTGCCACTACAAGTTCACTATGGGCAGCTGCTTTTGGGGTTACATGTATATTTTTGTGGCGTATTTTGAAATCACATAATTGGCCTGCTTTTGATAATTTCCTATATGATGTCCGAGTTCTTGTGCATAAATATGCGGAGCAGATCCGTGAATGGTTGCAATTACCAAAGGTGGCGACTGTACATGCGACTCGAATGAGCAGGTTGGAGGTAGGCCAGGGTGGGTCATCGTTGCTTTTTCAATGCCTTGTGGATGGGGCGGTTCAGGCTGCTTCGCATGCTGCAGGTTGGTTCATCGTCCAGGATACCGCGGGTAATGTTTTGTTTGTCAAGGGTTTTTCTTATGCAGATTTGCAGGATCCATTCTTGATGGAGTTAGTGGCGTTTCGGGATGCTATATACGGTGATGCTCTTTGAGGGATTTCACCAAGATTATGTTCAAGGGAGGTGCGAAGACAGTCATTGACGAGATTGGGAAAGTTTATTCGGAGGATGCTCGTGGAGGACGGATTCTTGAGGAGATCCGGCTGCTTCATTGACAGTATCGAGCTTCGACAGTGAAGTTTATAGGCAGGAGTAACATTCGGGTGGCCCATGATCAGGTAGTCAGGGAGGCCCTTTTCTTTGTTTCCTAGCTAGTGTGAGAGTTTTGATTTTAGACAATGGTTTTGGTTTGGTGTATAGACGTTGTTATCTATGTTTTCTTCGTAATGCAAGTGAGTTATTGACGAAAAAAAAAAAAAAAATAGAAACAAAGAAAATTTTGCTTGCAAAGTAACGAAACAACTACACTACACCTACAGTTCAATCCACATCGTTTTGATAAGTTCATGCGTCTTCTTCTTCTTCTTCTTCAATGTTCCTGGGTCCAATCGAAACTGATGGATGATGAAAAATCATTGTTTTCATTCATCTTCCTGTTAGCTTTGTTAAAGAAATTTCCGATAAAAATGGTGCAATATGATCAAATAGTAAATAAAATCTTATACAAATAGTCAGTGGATGAGTTGGATGAACTTTGCTATCAAATTGACTCAGTCGCTTACTAGCGAGTTGGTAAAATATGATCCTCTATTCATTCAAATTCTTCTTTGGGTTGAGTTAAGTGGGTGGGAATGGGTACGATTGGGTTGTGGGTTAATCCGCAAAAGCAATTTTGACACTTACCACTTTGTCTCCCGTGGATCTATGTAATATTTACATCAACTTTTTCATCACTCAATCAACTAATTGTATAGAGAAAATTCACACATTTTGCAACTTTGATACAATAACTAGCATATAATTTGCATCATAATATATAATTGACATTACACAGCATTATAACCAATAATAATAATCCAAAACATTCGTTATTCTCACCCACCTTTAGAAGTCAATGGTCAATGGTACCATTAGAAAATATAATGAGTATTTGATAATATAAATACAAAAAAAAACTTTTTCATGTCAAAATATGGTGCGGATCATTCGAGTGATCCATAATCCATCAACTATCCATTCGAATAAGTGTGAGTATGAACACTTATCAATTCACCCACCCACCAACTACAATTAATATATTAATATATATTAACATAATTAATGGCAAAGGCTAGCGTACGTCTGGCATACGCTGTACACTTGCGTTCACACTCATTAATTAATTTTAATTTTGATTTAATTAATTATTATTGATAATTACAAGTACATACTACATCCGTTAATTTATATTTTGGACACTATAATATGGTAAAAGTTTAGATATACGAATCAAACATTCTAAATATCCATTATATAAAACATCGTTTCTCCACATCATCATAAACTTAAAACACCCAGGATCTTGTTCTTTTTGGTTTGTCACTAACACCCAGGAGATTCCATGCTTAACTTTAACATATTCATGGATTTGGTTCCATTTCTTCTTCAAATAATCACAACATAATCAACTCGTTCTTTAGATAACAATCCCCCATATACGAGAAAAGGGAAAAAATAGAGACCAAAATTGAGAACCCATGCCCCTATGTTTGGGAACTGTGGGAGAACTATTTCTATGTAGTGTTAAATTCAGAGACTTGGAGACGCATACTCCACTTCTGTTTGTTGCGCCGTCGATTAACTCTATATCAGATTATGGAAATTAGTTATCATCAATCTGCTTGATAATTTGATGTATCAAGGAATCCCCTTGAATCTAATTGTCGAATCCACGTTTTCGAACAAAAAACAAAGCCAACATACGTGTCATATCAAACTACCCCTGCCAAGATCCATCACCATCATCGGCATCGGGTATTAGATGGAGTTGAAGGAAGCTATGACGAAGTCTTCATTTAAATTCCAAGGATCCCAAATTCGCCTATGCTGGTAGTGAAATCTGCAGAGGACTATGAAGTCTTTGGAATAGGAGGACAAGATTCTGGCCCATCTCAAACACAATCCAGGAATCATCCAAGTTGTAGCACATGAACTTATGAATCTTGAGAATCCAACAGGGAAACTACTGCTTATATGCCCCTTACGAGATCTGAAACTGAAGCTGGTTTTGTACATGGCTAATCGACGACATGAACTCTACATTGAATTGATGGAGAAGATGGAGTAGCCACTCATCATTCTTCGATTCAAATTGGTGCTTATGTATGAATCGGAACATTTGTTTCAAATTGGGCATGTTTTGGAATTTCTGTTCAAAATCGAAGAAATGTATCTTTATTGAAACTATCAAGTTCGGTAGCGTTCTCATCATTTGTGTTTGCAAATCTACTCATATGAAGAGAGCGTCTTTATTCTCTGTTTTCTGGAATTTTTATTTACAAGGATTTATTTGACGTATGGAATAAGTTTTTGAGAATTTATTTTCAGTGGATTAAGTTATTTAGGTCGCTTTCTTCAATTGGGTTGGCGGATTAATCCTTGTGAAGATATAATGGACTTAGAAGCAAATTATAATAAGTGAGAATTCCAAATTGAGTTGAAAGCAAAAACATCATTTAATTTAGGGGTGCAATTAACATTTTAAATTTAACGGTAACT